GAAGGATCTCCATTTACAACATGTTATCAGCAAATCGTGATTCGATAAATTTTGCTATCTATCAAACGCTTGTTTGATAAACCGCAAATTGAATATGCTAGTCAAACAATTAATATAATTCGTTATTCTATATCCACTAATACAATGACTATCATAATTTCACTCTTAAATAATTGCCAAACAATGCCATATTTAGTTTATGAAATGTCATATCTTTATTAATGTTATTTAATGAAATGTCATATCTTAAACTAATGTTGTCTTTTTTTTTTTAAAGTGGATATGTTAATTTGAGAATATGCATTCCTGATGATTAAAGTATGGCTATATAATTGTTTGGTTTGCCTACTTAGAATTACATTTGCTAGTATACAATGAAGTAGTCTAACGTTAAATGGGTTGATCCGTCATGTTTTATGGGACGAAATTGGGCCGCTTCCTTGAGCCCAAGGTTAAAATGGGAAAACGGCTTTTCCACCAGGACCACCACCCCCTTCTCCAAACCTATTCACTGTTCAACTTAGAGGAAAAAAACAAAAAACCAAAAAAAAAAAAAAAAAAAAAGAAGCGGCACCGAAGGAAAAGAACCCAATGATGAATCTGCACACACTTCTCGTACAGGTTCACGCTCTCCGCCTATGCGCCACAAAAACAAAACCCACATAGAGCTTCGAGCTGGGCCTCGCCAGAAAGTTGGACCGCAATTTCCTAATCTGGGCCGTTTGATTCCAATCGAACATTCGAAAAATTGGAGCTCGCGCAGAAATTAATGGCGGACGGGAATTACTCCGAAGAGGTGAATGTGGCCGTGAGGGTGGTCCACATGGCCTGCTCGCTCTGCGAGAAGGTGCAGAGACAACTGATTTCTACGGATTCTGATCAGGTTAAGTCCAAAGACGACGATTCACTAGTGACTGTTGCAGGTACTCTGGTTCCTTTAATTTTTAGTATTTTTTTTATTTATTTTTCGGTTTTTTTGCTTGGACGATTGGCAGCGTTCTTTGCTATTAGGTCATCCCAATTTGGGAATTTCGTCTTTTTTGGGTTTCTCTTGTTTCAATGTGGATTTGATGGTTGACAGTTGTATTGCTTTTGTTCTGTTTTTTGCTAGTTTTTTTAGCAAGGGAGAATTTGACCATACAGGTATGTGCAGAGTGCAGTCACTTGGGGTTTCTTACTGTGTGAGTATGTGTGTGTGTGAGTGTAATCCAGTGGTATAAATGAAGGTGTGGGCACTGTTACACACTTGTAGGATCCAATTTTCAGATACGAAGAAGGATTCACTTGATGATTGGCAATTGTAGGGGAAATTGATAAAGATTTACTTTCACAATCTTGGTTTTCACATAATCTTGTTTATCATTAAATAGAGTATTTGAGTGTATTGGATGATATTATTGGTGCACTTGTGAGTGGAATTCATCAAAGCTCTTGCCAATGTTGTGAAAAATGTAGTAAGTTTATGCAGAACTTTGCGATGTTATAAATGGTGGCTTTCTGCAGTTTGCATAAGTGTAGTTTCCAGCACTTTCCAGGAATTAATAGACATTGAGGACCACTTCTTTTAGAGGATTTGGCAAATTCTCCCATAATTAATTTTATAAATTGCCCCAAAACCCTGTTTCTTTCGGATTTGGACCGTATTGAAGCATAACCTATTTCTATGAATGCAGCTACACAAAGTAGTATGAGTTATGATCCACAACTTGCTTCTTTAAGCACTTGTGTTGATCTAATGTTTTCCAATCAGTTTCTGAAGTCCCACTCAGTTTGTGGACCAATTATACTTTATCTATCATAAGTAACTATTATTTTTTTTTCCCTTTTCTCTCCCCAATTCACAGACTGGAGCGTCCAGGCCACTGTGAGCTGGTTGCTCTCGAGAGCCTTCGGCAGCCGAAACATCTCAATCATTGCCGAAGAAGACATCCAAACCTTATCCAAATCCGAGTCGTCCTCTCTACTATCAAACGTCGTTAATGCAGTGAACGAGTGCCTAGATAAGGCACCCCAGTTCGGTCTCCAAGGCCCCAAAAGCCCGCTTGGCCCATCCGAGATTCTTGACACCATCGGCCGATGCAGCTCACGCGGGGGACCATCGGGCCGGCACTGGGTCCTCGACCCGGTTGACGGTACCCTTGGGTTCGTCCGTGGGGACCAGTATGCTATTGCCCTTGCCATGATCGATGACGGGCGGGTTGTGGTCGGAGTCCTCGGTTGCCCGAATTATTCGGTGAGCAAAGATGGTCTGAACGAGTATAATAGGTCGGGGGGTTTATCTGGTGAGGCAGGGTGCGTGATGTACACGTGGGCAGGCAGTGGAAAGGCCTGGATGCAGCCTCTGGTGAAATCTGACGAGGCTTTTGATTGGCCGAATAGTGCGAGGCTTGTGAAGGTTTCGGACGTTGATGACCCAGCCATGGCGACATTTTGTGAGCCAGTTGAGAAAACGAACACAAATCACTCACTTACAGCTGGCGTTGCTAACACAATTGGGTTGAGGTAAAAAAAAAGGCACTTTGAAAATTGTAGTCAACTTTGAACCTTTTTTTGCTGAGTCGTCCGGTTATTACAGTTTGCTTCACATTGGTACTTCGATTTTCTAAAGGTTGGGATGTCATAGCACATACTAGTTATATGTGTACCTTACGTCATAATCCTGAAAGAGCTAAGGGTAGTGATTGGGTTATAGCATTAAATATATAACTGAAACAATAAATTTTGAGATTTGTGATTGGATACAGCATAGAAAAATGAAAAACTCTGTTTGATGTGTGGAAGTAGTACTCGACATAATTGCGGGTCGGAAAATATGCGTGATTACTGAAATCTCTGAAAGTAAACGTGTTGTATTGATGAGTGTATGATGATTTTCACCGAGAATGATTTTCCTCTAGCTGGACGTGCTTGGGGATGAAATGTTACTCAAGTTGCAATCCAGAGCTGCTTTTTTCATGTTTTAGTTTATAGTTTAAATAGCTCATACATACATAACACTGTAAAAACATTTTGTTAACTCTGTTTTCTTGCTCACTTTCCATATTTCGAATAATTGTCACTCTAAATTAAAAAAAAATTGCAGGAACAAGCCCTTGCGGGTTTACAGCATGGTTAAATATGCGGCCATAGCCCGAGGGGAAGCCGAAATATACATGAGATTTGCGAGGGCCGGTTATAAGGAGAAGATATGGGACCATGCGGCCGGTGTTCTCCTCGTCCAGGAGGCTGGTGGAGTGGTCACGGATGCCGGAGGCTGCCCGCTCGATTTCTCCAGAGGAATATATCTTGAAGGACTCGACAGGGGCATAATTGCCTGTTCTGGGGTTAAGCTGCACGAGAAAATAATTGGGGCCGTTTACGCCAGCTGGGAGTGTTCTAACCTGTAATCACCGTTCTTCCTCAATTCTTCCGATGAAAATAAAAAACATGGGATGATATTACGGATTGCCACCTGGGCTTTTCCCTCTGCAAAGGTAACTATTTTAAATTCAAAAACATTGTTTATTACTTTATAAACTGTTTGAAGTGTTTGTTTCCTTTTTGTTTCTTATAATTGGATTTTGAACCTTCCTACAAATACCCCTATTGATATGTGAAAGAGAAGCAAATACCCTTATCGATTTTGCCCTTCTGTGAATACTTAAATCTGCAGGAGCCAACCTCGACTGGGTAAATTTTATTCTACTGATGCCAACACGAGGTTTATAAATGTTGGATCAACACACATCCGTATGGGTGTGTGTGAGTGTGTGTGGTCTAATCGGATAAGAAACTTGGTGTGGAAAGTGCCCATACCACTATGGTTACATTGCCCTTGACATTGTTTACTCTCACTTTTTTTTCTATTTATTTTCACTATTATTGCTTACGTTAATCATTTTTTACTACAATCTCAGGGAAAGGACAACATCGATGTACGTGGAGTTTTTTTCAACCTTTTTTCGGTTTCTTAGGGAAGCACTCCTTAGCTTCCAAATCAAGAGATGAGAGATTGTGAATTTTCCTCTCTGACGTAAGTTATTATTATTATTATTTATTTATTTTGTTGTAATGGGAAATGTTTGAATGCCGATAACCTATGAGTTTTCAACGACGGTATGCCATTCGAATAATAATTATAAATGATTAATGACTTAATTAGGTTGAGAATCTTTCACTGTCCTGGTCGATTTGAGGTAAAATTCTTCTTCATTGAATGTTGGCAGTCTGAGTTATTCTTGGTGGTACTTCCCTTTTTGGGTTTTTATTCTGCTCTGTTTAAACTCTAAACTTTCACTTGGAATTTATTGAACGACTGGGATTGTGATAAAATATTTGCAGCAAGATTGATGTAGACAACTATATATTTAATTAATGTATTTTTCATCACTAAATGTATATGTATATGTTGGGAAATGCTACGGTACCATCTCGTCGGGTATTTTAACCGTTGGATCATCTATTTTATCTAACTAAATATGGATCCAACGGTTAAAACACCGGACGAGATGATACCGTAATGGGACTGTAGTATTTCCCGTATATGTTAAACGAATCCTACGGAAAACAATGAATTTATATAATCTAAATTAATTGTTATTACTTATTACTGATTAGGTGGCTTAGCACCAAAAAATTTCAACATTATGATCATGTTGACTGGAATTGATACAATGATTGTAATATAATAATCTTCTTTTGAAGATTGCAAAACCGTACAAATGTGATAATATTCGGATTTAAAAAAAAAATATATATAGTATCAAAATTTTGCTAAGATGTGATTTTTTAATGAGATATTTTTCTCAATGGTCATTTTTTAGGTTTTTGTCCCAGAAATAATGGTACGGGATTTTTGTCTTGTCAAACGTTAAAGTCAATGTACAACTACTACTGCATTAATTACAACTACTCCCGTACAGGAATGTCATAATGTGATTTGAAATTCCATGTTGTGAAGGTTGAGATATTTCCACGAAGAGCAGTTTTGACTTTTGAGGACATGCCCAATAATAATAATAATAATAATAATAATAATAATAATAATAATAATAATAAATTGGTAAATAAAATTGAGGTTCTACAAAAATATGAGATAAAAATTAATAATGAATGAAATTGTTGTGATACAAAATAATAATTAATAAAACCTTAACTGAGAGACTAACAATTAGAAACAAGAAGTGGATTACGATACTTTTTATTGTTAAAATATATATATAGTTTATTGTTAAAATATATATATATATATATATATTTTTTTTTTTTTTGTAAGTGTAATTGTGAAGTTAAATATAAAAAAAAATGAAATGAAAGTATTTTTGTATACAATATATATTTTATTTTATAAAAATACTATTCATTTCATAATTATTGGACAACATTATGTAACACAAAGAAATAAGAATGTATGTAATTTATGATTATAAGTTACATCTTATTGTGCAGAAATTCTATGGTGTCACATGTGACACGATGCCACAACATGATGTGGCACATTATGATTGGTGCCACAACATGATGTGTGATAGTGTGGCACCAATTATAATGTGTCACATCATGTTGTGGCACCATAATATAGTGCCACATGTGGTTTAACATCAAACATAAGAAAACAATTTGTTTTACATGTTTGAGTTGACAAAGATATCTCGTGGTTTAAATTATTGATTTAGGGGCAATTTGGTTCACGTTATAATCGGTTTTGGTTGACCAAATAATTTGTTTTTATTTTTTAACTTGAAATTTAATTCAATTTTAATCTAACTCAATATTATCTATATAATTAAATAATATAAATTAATCATTTCTACACTTAATATCAACTTTAAACCACTAGTTATTCATTAACTATTTTTAACTACATATCATTTTTGATTTAAATATTATTTAAATATGAACTGAAAATTCTACTTACAATATTTCATTCAATCAACTTTATTCAAAGTAACTCATTTAACAAATTAAGTCCAATCTAAATCGGTTTATATATATCCAATCGCCAGTTAGTGTACAATTACTCAATTTGGACATGGTGGTACGATTAGTTGTTAGTGTAGTTTTGAATTTATATTAAAGTAATATTTGACTTTACTATTTAAAATAAATAAATTAATTTTATTTAATGTCAAATTATAAAACAAATGATGTGAAGTTATGATTAGTTAAAATTTTGTAAGTGGATAAAAAGTTAATTAAAATTGATGTAATATAACAATGATTGATTAAGTATTATTTAATTATTTTGATAACATTGAGTACAATGAAATTGAGATAAAATTGAATTAAATTTAAATAAAAAATAATAGTAATTGTAAGGTTTCAATGTCAACATCATGCACTATAAAAGTTTGTGCTTTGCATCGAAAATCCAATCCCGTCACTAAAAGTCTTGCACCCATTATTAAATCTTCTGTTATACTCCCTTCTATTTATTTTAAATGTCATTCTAATCTTTTCAACTATTTGGTAAATAAATATCGTTTTAGATTTTTTGTACATATTTTTTTATTATTACCCTCATTTAGCCAATAAATGCATTACATCTTTTCATATTCACTCTTTATTTTTTTCTCAAAGCATTCATCTTTATCTTCATTAAATAAGGTTATTATTGACAAAAAAAATATTCTTAATTAGTGTGCAACTTTTCAAAACGACATATCTATATATATAAAAATATTTACCATTTTATAAATTTAGCAAGTTTTTCCCGTCAAATCATTAATTATATCCTATATATAGTAACTTTGGATAATTGTGAATAAGCAAAAAAAGGCTCTTTAATTGTTGGTTCTGTAATTATAGCTTCAAAATCAGTTGCAACTTGGTTTCTTTAATTAGAGCTCTTTAATTGTTGTTGCGAAATTTATGCCAAAGAGTTTAAAATATGAATTCTTATTGACTTACTGTTCAAAATGCAACAATATCGTCCAACCGGATACATTCTAATGCAACATTTCTATCTTACAAAAAATCTGAAAAATAATACCGTCAACTATGATTTTAAGTAAGTTGAATCTTCCAAACAATGTGAAATCACGATATATTTTTTTAAAAAAAAAAAACTATAACAATTTAATCTTCTAACCGGTTATACATATTTTTTTCAATTTTTTTATTTAAAAATATATATTTTTTTATTAAAAGATGATTATTTTTTTTAAATAAGTTAAATACATATTATTTATACCATATTTACAACAAATTACGTGTGAATTGAGAAAAGATCTTTAGTCAAGGAGTTTTCCTTTCTTCAAAGTCTTTAAAACTCATCCAAATCAAACAATATATTTTATTCTTGTTGTAATCTATATATATCATTCTTCTATCGCAAAATGTCCTCGCAAGCTGTAAGTTTTTTTTTTTTTTTTTTTGTCGGTCATACATTCTCTTCATCATATTTATAATATCTTCATCATATTTATAAGTTTCTATCATTAATTGAAAAGCCTAAAATATTGACTTTTGTTCCATACACCATTAAAGATCGTACAAAAAAAGTTCATTAACGTATACCCGCCTAAAAAACCTCAAGGTAATTTTACAGAATCTCATCGTATAAATATCGGCTTTTGGTTCCATACACATTAAAGATTGTACAAATAACCCATTAATGTATACCAGCCTAAAAAATATCATGGTAATCTTACAGAATACCATCGCTCGGTAAATTTAAAAAATCTCATCTCTTAGATATCTACTCTAACATATTTTTTTAACAAAATTATGTAACATAATTTTTTTAACGAATAAGATTTATTACATATTTCTCCTCCAAAAATATTAAATGCACATAATAAAAAGTTAATAGAAAATATACAGATTTAAATATTGTCTTCAATTTTTGAATTAATATCACTTATATATAAATTTTCATTTTATTTGTTACATTTTAAATTATTCTTGATTTGTATTTGTAAAATTAATAAATTTGCATAAAGCGTGGAATTGTTATGCGTACAATTTTTTTTAACGGTAACAATTTATAAAAAAATAATAAGAAATACCGTCATAATTCTCGGAATAATTTCATTATTTATTTTATATGTAAGTGGTAAATTTTCTCTCAAAAATTTATAATGTTTTTATTTAGGCTTATGATATTGTAGATACTTTTATATAATATTTCATCATGTCATATTATATCTATATATACATATTAAATTTAAATATTTTTAAACATGTTTTCTTTACAACAGAGTTTAGAAAACATCTTTCATAAAATGTAAATTTAAATTTTTTTAAACTATTTTAGTAAAAATAGTTTAAAAAAATTGTAGGTGACTTCACATCTTTTAATAATAATACATGAACTTTTACATACTTTTATATGTTTTTAGTATTTTAAACATGCAAACTCTATGTTCTCTTATACAAGTTAATTTTATATTGTTGATAATAAACTGATATACGACGGTCAATTATATCATATGTTAACCCCACCACTCGAACTCGGGACCTATTTATAATTATATATTTTTTTTTTTTGCTCTTTTAAAATAGGATAATGGTTTCCCACCACTCGAATTCGAGACCTATTTATAATTATTATTTAATATAATTACCCGTGCATCGCACGGGCTACGTACTAGTATTAAAAATAGGAGGTAGTATAATATAAGCATGCAATGTTAGTAGCTTGAATAAAGCCCAAGAATCATAACGCGTGATTACGCTGTAAAGATAAAGCTAAGCGTGTTTTGCCCTTCTCTTTACAATTCCTTCCCACAATCTTTTCATTTGCATGTTTTCATAATTGCAAGCGTTTATGAGAGGGCCGTCGGCTATTATTCGATTTTAATTAACTCATCAAATATTTTTTTATTTATATATTTTTTTTTTTATTTTAAATTTTTAGATTTATTTCAACTAAACTTTCTTCAACATTATTAATATAAGTAAAAAATGTCGATCAACCATCCTCATATCGTATCATCTTTAATTCACTGCGCAACTGCTCACATGTTTCTAAATACATGTAGTTTTAAATAGCATATCTTATATTTTTACATTACATTAACTTTAATTATTATAAATATTATTCAAATATATAAAAACTCAAAGTCACATCCAATTCACCACTCAATCAACTTTATTCAAAATTAAATAATCACTATAAGAATAAATTCGATCGAAACGAGCTAGATTTTAAGTTGAAAAATTGTTAAAAAAAATATTCGGCCAGTCAATACCAACTGTTAAGCAGGTTGACATACTTATTATATTATAATTTTATTTATATTATTTTTAAAATTCTACGCTGAGTAGATTATGTATGTATGAGTTACATTTCTGGGAGATGCTACAGTCCCGTTCCGGAATCATTTTGTCGGAATTTTAACCGTTAGATCATTATATAACGTCGAAATAGTTGATCTAACAATTACAAATCACGACAAAATAATTCCGTAATAGCACCGTAGCATTTTCCTACATTTTCATACAGTGAGAAAGGATTTACTTCAATTCCAAAATCAAATTCACCTTTTACGTTAAGCGACTTTTATTAGCATTTTTTTGCCAAGTCAAAATCCTCTAATAAAATTGACCAAATCCGATTACCTCCATAGTACTCAGCACTCACCTTTTACTTATTATTAAAATTAAAAAAATATGAACATTTTCTCGATTAATTCCTATTTAAATCTCAATCTCCTTCAAAGCAATCCGTACATTCTCAAACCCCCAAAAATGAAAAATAAAAAATAAATTATAATTATAAAACATCAATTTTGCCGTCTTCAAACAAGAAAAAGAATACACAGTCAGAGAAACAAATCCATGGCGAAATCGAGCCGCGACTGGGCTCAGATCTACGCAATCTACGGCCTCGACGGCTGGCAAACGCCGCTGTTCCTCTTCGCCCACGCCGTCGTCTTCTCGATCCTCGCCGTCCTCTTCCTCCTCTACTTCGAGCCCATGTGCACCTTCCTGGAGCATCAGGCCCTCCCCGGACCGGCCTCAGCCCGATTCGCTGCCGGGTTCGCCGGATCCGTCACCGCCTTATCCGCTGTCTGCCTCTTCTACGCCGCCGTAGATTTTCTGTACTCCGCCGCGCCGCTCCGGTGGGAGATGTCCCAGCGCGTGGTGTCGGCGGTCTCCGACTGGTCGGCTGTCAGGAACGCCCTCGACCTGGGCTGCACCGGCCGGGGGATGCTGATGAACGCCGTCGCCCTGCAGCTGAAGAAGTCGGGGTCGTCTGGCCGTGTCGTTGGGCTCAACTCGACCCGATGCGGGCCTATAGACCCGGCTTGCATCCTGAGGACCGCCGGTCTGGAGGGGGTTCAGAAATACGTCACTTGCAGGTAAACGACTAACAATGGGAGCTGATTCTATTTGATTTAATTTAATTACTACTTTTTTTTGCGAGATAATTTTCATATATAAATTAAGAAATTATATATGACATGAGCTACTCGGTATTTGATTTGATTATATTAATATGATTACGTTTTTTTACATATAATACTACTTAAATTGCCTAA